TTGGGTGTCAGGTAGACGCAGAGATAAGTGACAGCGCCAACTGTGACCCAGACGTAGTCGTCCCCGACACCGCGGAGGCTCTAGATTGGGTGCCGCCCCGTATCCAGATAGCAGTGATCTCTGTCTCGTTTGTAATGTATGTCTGGGTCGTCTTTCTCCTGTATGGTTCACTCAGAATCAGGATGTCCGCGTCATATTCGTCGGCCATCTAAGGTAGGAGCATGTCTGCAGTCCTACTTCGATTCAAGTTTCCCTGAATTATTTTGTCCGTCCTCTGATCCGCCCCCTTCACGCCTCCAGCGCGGCCCGGAACACGGCACACCTGCCGCCTCCGGCGAGGTGGGCGATGTCCCCGTGCCCGGCCTCGGAGCACAGTGGGCAGACCGGCTTGTTTTGGCATTCCGTCACGTAGTGTCCGGATGTGCCACACTTGCGGCAGCATTTCGTCCTGTCCTTGCCTGTGCATTCAGCTTTTACATGGCCGAAGCCCAGGCATCTGTAACATTTTGTCACCGTCAGTCGTTTCCGAACGCGGCAATGCACCCAGCAAATTCCGATCCGACCACGCCGAAGCAATGCATCGGCTTCCCGCGATTCTAATTCGCAGACCGCCATATACTGCTCAACGCGGTTTGGACCGAAAATGTGGACTCGAAAGCCCGCTTCCCGGACCGTGTCTTGGATCTGTCGTCCAAACATCTCACGTCCGTCCGGCTTGTCTACGTCTACCTGTAGCTTCAGAAGACATAAGCCGTTCTTCGTCTTCCTCAGGGTTGTCACCTGCATGTGGCTCTCCTTCGGGTCGATCGTCGTCCGTATTTTCCGTACTACGTCAGAGTACGTCGTGTCCGTGCCCGGCCTGATCAGGACAGCCAGACCCCTTTTCCGGTGGGCCGGTTCCCCTCTGTCAGGCCGATTCCTTACGTCCGTTTTCTTTTTTGTCTTGTCTGATCGTTTTCGTGTTACCGTCTGCCAGTCCTTGGTCGTTTCGATCGTCGGTGGCCTCTTTTGTGAGGGCTTCGGCGTGGTTCCAACCGGCGAACATTTTCGTTTCGTCCGTGGCGTTTCTTCCTTATTCGCCGCTGTCCTGTCTGTATTGTTGTTGTCTTGGAAACGTCTTTCCGAAACTGTGTCCGATCGCTTGTGAAGCGCGATGTCCACAGTCTCAAGAATTGTCTTAATTCCCGTCTTCACTATCATGTTCATGTTCTTTTGTATGTTTGCTGCCTTCGCCATTTTCGTCGCCGTCTCTTGTATGAGCCGCAGCAGTTCCGTCACGTCTCGTGTATCGTTTGTTATTGTCGGTGTTCGTCCTGTCGTTGATTCTTGGCTGTCAGCGGCAGAGGCGTAGCTCACCCCGCTGGCGCCGCTTGACACACTGTCCGTCCTCTGTCGTCTCGGTAAGTTCAGTAGGTTCGTGTCGTTTTTTCGTGTCTTTCTCCCCATTCCCGTGAACAAAGTACGGCCCTCAAAATCCGTGCCGCTGCCCGTGGCCACCGGGGCTTTCACCCGATCAGAACCCGGGGTGGATTCCTCCTGAGAAGGAGTTACCACTGGAGGTACATTAGTGTTTTCATTGTGCATACTCATATTTATTGTTTTGTCCCGTTGTGCTGAAGGTCCCTCGTGGTCGCGACTTCACGAACCGCGCTGGGACAACGCACGGCCCCTGAGGTCCCCCCGCCCTGTATGTTTACCCTGTGTGTTCAGTGTTCCCCCCTGTGGTGTGTGCGTGTATGTAAGTGCCCATAGGCAAAACCGGGCTGCGTTCATGGGGAGAGCCCGTTTAGAGAGATCCCCTTCACTCGCTTTCAGGCGGCTCCGTTTATAGGAGTCCTCGACCATTCGCTTTTCGGTAAGACCCGTTTATAGGGTTCCCCGATTTGCAAGAAGGCGTGTGTGTGTGAGTGTTTGCGTAGTGTGTGTGTGTGTGTGTATAAGTGATTAATGGTTGGACACATCGGCAGAATACCATTATCTTTTGCGTCATTTGTGAGCCATATCTTCCTCTTGGCCGTGTCCGTTATGGCGTTGCTGCTCAGAGCATTGACGCGACGGACAACATTTCCACCGGGCACGTCGTGGACGTTGGAAGCTAGCATTTGCCCAGTGAGGTGTTACCACTCACTGGACCAGCTCGGAATTATTATTATTATTATTATTATTATTATTTTGAAGTAAAAATTTTGCTCTTGTGAATGCTGATGAATTTGCTCAAATATATTTTTTTTTTCATCGGGTTATTATATTTTGACATTTTTATGTTTATGACTTTCCTAGTATCCATTACAAGCCAAGTAGTCATAGATTAGCTATTTAATTAATATAAAAATCATTAAAAATTTTTAGAGTTGATGATTAAGATTAGAACTAAATTGATGTTCTCGTTTGTAAAAAGTTTCCTCTTCCCGAATCCAAGCTTAAATTTAGAAAAATTTTTGAGTAAAATTTATTTGACATTGAAAATTTTACTAATCGTAAGTCCATGAACGCCAAACTCATAAACCCACACCTTAAACCCACAAGCTCTTTTTGCCATTGAACTGCCATTTATTTTGTTTTTTAAATTGTATTAATTTATTTCTCGCGTGCTGTGACTTCAATAGGTCATTTGTTACCAATCTTTATGTTTTTAAGTTAAAATTATACAAGACAAACTGCGCTACACTGGCATCTATTTTGTTTTAAATTTCAAAATGCAATAATTCACCGAAACAAAGAAGTTAAGCAAACTCAACGACATTTAAAAGAGCAAGATTTGTTTTTTGAAATACTCTATTTAATTTTTTCTAAAAAAAAAAGAAAAAGACATGAGAGCCAGCAAAACTGCTCGACCACACACGCGTAAACACGATGCCCATACATGCAAAAAGAAAGGGAAAGAGAGAGAGAGAAAGATATGGGCACCGATCTTCACGATCTGTTGACTGCCTCCTGGTTGCTGCTCCTTTTACTACACAACTAACACTGCTGCTGCTCCCGTCCAGTTACTGGACGTTACCGATCTCGATCGGATAAACGGTTGCACGATGCCGTACCAGGATTCAACACTAGCTGAAATTGATCCAGCTACCAATAACAACAAAATCTGACAAAACCGTCCCTTGTCTCGGGCGTGTATCCTCAATAATCGAAACGCAGCAACGTCGTGCTCGAAAACAACTCCAAACCCGTCGAAAAATAGATGACGCTCCATCTCTCCCTAAAACTCTCTCTCTCGACAACTTACTTCTCGCCCCTCTCGATCTCGTGTTTACCGTCTCTTCTCATCATCCGCAATCGTCGGCTGCTCCTGACTCTACCAATCACCTTGTTCACCGCACCTCAAACAAACAAAATTGGTATATAAGTGCATACATACACACTTACAGACTGAAGTGACGAATGAACGATAACAAGAGCTAAAGGATGAATCGGCGCATCGTAATTCTCTCTTACAAAAAAGAAATCATTAAGTTAATTTATATAATTTGAATAGATACCATATTCAAGTCATAAAATCATGTAATCAGCCAATCATAAAATGAAATCAAATGTACTAATTGCAAGTAACATACTTAAACTGCTATGTACGCTCTACTTGAGTTATTATATAAATCTGTAAGAAATCAGGAGCACAGACAAAGTACATGCCACGTTTCACTGAAATGAATTTAATTAAAAATTCAATATCAGTGCGAAATTCCTTTTAGGAATGATTTCTAGACACATTACGAACATTTAGTCGTAATTTTTAAAATCGGTTTACATAACTGATTTGGAAAATAAAAAAATTTTCACTCAACGGAAAAGATTTTTTTATTACAGCTTTAATAATGCAATAACAGATGATACAATATTGATTATCCCTAACAGATCGTGAGCTGCCTAACCGTTGGGGCTCAGCAGCTTGAGCTATTTGTTATTGATTCTATCTAATTGAACTGAATACACCAAATTTTAATTTATTACAAATTGAATGATTTAAAGTTTGTGTAAAACCCCGTTGAAAATTATCTGATTTTACTTTTACTTTAATTTTTTTATTATTATCAAAGGTTAAGGTAAAATGACAAATCACTATTTGAAGGGAAAGCCTATTACGGCACAAAACCCTTTTATTGAATTACAATGAAGAATTATTATGAGATTAAAGCTATGATGAATGACGCAACACGCACGCACAAGCCGCACACGAGTGAAGCACACACAATGGCCGCGTGGTCCACACTCGTTCTTAGAATTAGATTTGATTTTTAATCAACACACAATTGACACACACTACCGATGACGATAATGCGTACAATTTTTCAATAATTATAAGCCGATAATGGCGAGAGTAAAATTGCAATGATACAAGAAAACCTTATGAAAGGTTAAGAGACGCGAGGGAGCTCCGCACGCTGTGGATTGTCGTCGACGACTAGCGCGGATTGTCGCTCATTCTTTCGTCTTCGCGCGCATTCACATGTACGTTCGGGAGCGAGCGGCATGGCCAGCGCCGCCACTTCCGTCGTGTTCATGAGAATGGCGCTAAAACTCACTCATACAGATATATACATACGTATATGCGTCTTTGTGACGATGGAACATGCTCCCGGCGCAAGCTGCGAAATCGAGTTTTATACTTAAAGCTATGAAGCAGTTTGTGAAAACAAAATAAATAATTTTAAAATATTACAACATATTTACATAATTTACACTAGATTGATTGAATGAAATCTTAAACACTTGACTAAAGAAGACTAGACAAGTATGAGAGTCAGTTTTCTTTGGAGGGACTGCTCATTTGATTGGCAATATTATCGCAGAACTTTTTGTTCGATAAGTAAATCTAATTAAGAATTGAAAAATTTAACAAAGCTTTGAAGCTGATTATATCAATATGAATTGAATAACTATAACTTATGACTTTTCTAAATCTAAATCTCTAAGTTATGAACACTTAAACTACAGGTAATGAACAAAGTCTTGTTATATTACGTTTATAAACGCCGCTCGCAGTCTTCACTGAAGCCACTCTAGCGATGCCGTCGCTCCCAGGAAAGACCTCGACCCAGTGGCCAACGTGCGCATCCCAGATTATCCTCCATTAAGATAACTACAGATCCAGGCTTCAACACCGCTGTAGATTCATGCCATTTTTGACGAGTTTGGAGCTCGTTCAGGTACTCCTTGTGCCATCGATTCCAGAAGTCCTGCCTGGCCTTGGTGATGAATTTGTAAGTTGACAATCGGTTATCTGGAACTTCAACCAAATTTTGTTCGGGTAAGAAACTGAAGATCCGACCGATTAAAAGATGAGCGGGAGTAATAGCGAGAGGATCATTAGGGTCTGAAGAAATTGAACACAGGGGTCTCGAGTTCAAAATAGCTTCGATCTCAATGAGCAAGGTATTAAGCTGTTCGTAAGTAAGCTTTTGATCTTTCAAGACACGACGAAGATGGTGCTTGAAACTCTTTATAGCAGCTTCCCATAAACCACCAAAATGGGGAGAAAGTGGCGGATTGAAATGCCACTCTATCCGTTTTGTAAGAGTGTAACTCCTTATATCTTTTTTGAACTCGTCAGTTTTAAACAACTTATATATTTCGAGAAGTTCTCTGTTTGCACCAACGAAATTAGTACCATTGTCTGAGAAGATATGCGAAGGGACCCCTCTTCGACTGACAAACCGTCGTAAGGCTGCTAAGAAGCCTTCGCTTGAAAGATCGGAAACAAGCTCGATGTGTACGGCTTTTGAAGCCATACATACGAAGACACAGCCGTAGCTTTTGATGAAGCTTCGATTTCGATCTTTCTTCTCTTTGATGAGGATAGGGCCGAAGAAATCCAGACCAGTGTGATTGAAAGGCAGCGATTGAGTCACACGAGACTCAGGTAAATCAGCCATTTTAGCGTGCATCATATTAGGAGATTGGCGGATGCACTCGATACAACGATGAATAATGCCACGAATCTGATTTTTTCCATTGAGAATCCAAAATCTTTGCCGGAGAAGATATAGAGTCGATTGAATACCAGTGTGAAGATTATTCTCATGCAAGTCACGTATGATGAGATCAGTGACATGATGATTACTAGGCAACAGAATAGGATGTTTTGTAACGTAAATTAATTTAGCCTTTTTCAAGCGGCCACCTACTCTGATTAAGTCGTCTTCTCCTATGAAAGGATTCAACTCATCGAATTTTGTACTTTTCCTAAATGGAACTGCATAATTGCCTGGACTAGACTCCAGAGCGGTCTTTAGAAGATTTATTTCTTTGGGGAAACATTCAAGCTGGACCATAGTGAAGATCTGAATCTCAGCTTTTTCCATCTCAGAACGGGTTAAAGGAGGAACTAATTTCCTAATTTTTACCATTCGTTCATCTTTGTTTTTGGTATCAGGAAAGAGTTATACACTTTTGTCTCTCGCTTTTATGCCTATCCAACGACGCATGTAAGCAACAACTCGAATCAAACGTTGAAAACTAGAAAAACGAGAGTACATGTCACTAGGTGAAAGCGTGGTAATTAAACAAGTGGTTTTCTTCAACCCAGGAATTTCAGATATAGCGGAGTCGACTGACTCAGGCCACTCATTGATAGGAAGAGTTAGCCATTTGGGACCAGAAGTCCACAGAGAGTTTACCATAAACTCAGAAGGCAGTTGGCCTCGCGATAAAGCGTCAGCGGGGTTGTCGGCTGAGCAGACGTATCCCCATTCGACTTCATTACCTAAGGTTTGGATTTCAGCGACTCTGTTTGCTTCAAACGTTCGCAATAAATGAGGAGCCTTTTTAATCCAACAAAGCACTATTTTTGAATCAGACTTGAGAATAATGCGTGAGATGGGACAGTCCAGCTGCGATTTCAACTCGACATACAACCTTTTCAGCATGACTGCAGCACAAAGTTCTAAACGAGGAATCGTGAGACCACTAAGAGGTGTTACCTTAGATTTGCTACAAGCCATCCTGATGGTAATTTTGCCATCTTTGTCAATTGATCTGATGAAAATATAAGCACCATAACCATCTTTGCATGCGTCCCCAAATCCGATGATCTAAACCGAGACAGCATTGGGACATAGTAAATGTCGAGGAGTTGCAAAATCTTGCAAACAAGGAAGCTGGTTAGCCAAAGATACCCACTTCGTATGAATGTTTTGTGACAATGATTCATCCCAATTGATTAATGCTTTCCAGCAATCCTGAATCAATACCTTAGCACCAAGAATTACGGGACCCAAAAGGCCCAGAGGATCGTAAACCTTGGCAACTTCAGACACAAGCTTTCTTTTTGTAGACGTAGCTTGAGGGTCGATAGTTTTTACAGAGAAAGTGAAGACATCTCGTTCAGAATCCCAAATGACTCCTAGAGTTTTGTGAATAAAGTTTTCTGTTACTCCACACTCAAGATTGAAGATCTTCTTGTCTATGTTACTTAGAGCAGCGACCTGATTCGAAGCCCATTGGCGGATGACAAACCCACCACGACTTAGGAGCTCGGTCATTTCATCTTGGATACTCAAAACTTCTTCGATAGAATCAGCACCGGATACGAAATCATCGAAATAAAAGTCACGAAGAAGAAGCTTGCTGACATGAGGGAAATCTTTCGCTTCATCTCGCGCAAGCTGATGAAGAGTACGAATCGCAAGGAATGGAGCGGTAGAAGTACCAAATGTCACCGTATTGAGGATAAAAGTACGAATTCTACCTTGAATATACCACAAAATTTTTTGATATTTTCGGTCGTCAGGATGCACAAGAATCTGCCTATACATCTTCTCGATATCTGCAGTAACAACATATTGATGTGTTCTGAATCGTAAGATTTGTTTGAAAATGGTGTCCTGAATTGTAGGACCAGGCATAAGAACATCGTTGAGCGAAATACCATTGGAAGTTTTTGCAGAAGCATCGAAGACAGGTCTGCACTTCGTAGTCTCGCTGGATTCCTTCATTATAGCAAGGTGAGGGATATAATAGCCATCTTTTGACTCATCATCACACAAGGTCATGTGACCTAGAGCAATGTACTCGTCCATGGATTTTACATATTGTTCCTTGAACGATGGATTGGCTCCGAATTTTCTTTCGAGAGCTTGAAAACGCTGTAAAGCTTGCCTTCGAGAATGACCTAACTCGAATTTGTTATCTCTGAAAGGCAGACGAACGATATATCTTCCGGACTCGTCACGTTGAGTATTTTCGACATAATGTCGTTCACATGCTACATCATCGCGAGACTTCAATGGCTCGTGATCAAGATCTTCGATATTCCAGAATCTCTCAAGCAGTCGATCCAACTTCACGACATTGCAAGATGCTCTACTTGAAGGTGTTAGAACATGGGAACCTCCTGCAACTACCCAACCTAACATAGTTTTCTGAAAGATAATCTGAGAACCTTCATGATCAAGTTTTATTTGACCTACAGATAGCAACGATAAGGTAGTATTAGAAGCCAACAAAACATCGACTGATTTAGGAACGTGAAATTCAGGATCAGCGAGCTTAATATTTTTAGGGATATCAAAGCGTTCACGAGGAAATGTTTCATTAGGCACATAATCAATAATTTTTTTAACTATTAAGAAATTTAATTCATGACTGGAATTATTGTAAACAGAATGAAAAGTGGCTCTGACATAATTATTTGAGACAGTGCTCGAACCGTCAACTGCCCCAATGTTAATTGAACAAGCTAATTTTGGTAATTTTAATTTATTAGCAAATTCTTCAGTAATTAAGTTGACTGTTGAACAAGAATCTAGTAAAGCTCGTGCCATGTAACAATTTCCTCTACCATTTTGAAACTTGATGACTGCAGTGGTCATTAACTGACAGTCTGAAGGAAAGGCATTTGACGTGAACGACTGAAATGTTAGTCATGATTGCGGAGTGCTGCTTGAAGAGGCATTTGCTCCATTACTCGTATTGTCCGATGACTTGGATCCTTTGTCTGCATGAAGCAATGTATGATGAGCCTTTCCACAAGTTTTGCAGCGTTTGTCGCTTTTGCAAGGAAAGGTATGGGCATAAAGGCAATTGCGACAGAGTTTGTTTTGATTTACGAAAGTCCATTTTTCTTGATGTTGCATTTTATCTCTGAAAATAGGACATACAAAAAGATGATGTGCTTCGTTACACTTGGGGCATGACTTTTTAGAATGTTTCTTATCATCAGCAGTAGTAGTAACAAGAGAACGAGCCTCATGCTTTGCGACTTTACTCTTCGCATGATTGCTCTTATCAGCAGGTCTTTTCCTAGAGGAAGATGGGAGTGTTCCCAGTTGATGAAGTCTGAAAATCGTATTTTGTATAAAACTGAACAGCTCATCCAGTTTTGGAAGTTTGTTTGCTACCAGACGATCTTGTAATCTTGAGACCACACTTGTAGGCAAACATCTCTCGAGAATTCTAATCATGAATTCCTCATTGACAACGATGTCTAATTGTTGCAGCATGTTGACATGCTGACGAGCTAAACTCAACAGGTTCGAGAGACTATCTTCCTTTGCTTCGAAAAGTTTAGGCAAAGTCAAAATAGCATCGATGTGCTCGTTGGTGACAATGCGCTTTTGATCAAAAGCGTTGTACAATTCTTTCCACGCAACTGAGTAGTTTGCTTCGCTGGGAGGCAAGTGCTTGATGATGCCCTTAGCTAAACCAGAAAGATAACCAATCAACAGAGAATGTTTCACGAAATTACTTGTGTTTGGACGTTCATGAACAAGAGCCACGAAACTGTGTTTCCAAGCAACCCACTCATTTTGGTCTCCGCTGAAAGTAACAACTCTGATTTCGGGAAGCTTTGGCAAATCGTTTTGCTCAGTGAAAGTCAGATTACTGGTGTTCAAAAGAGTAGACTGTGCACTTGGCTCTGCACCCTGTAATTTTCTAACAGCACTAACAACCTGATAATAATTGTTTTCTACCTCTGGAAGAGCGGCAATTTGAGGATGATCAGATTGAAGATTAGCAAGTTCGTCGATATTTCGACTATACTCATTAAATAATGAAGACAGATTTGTCGAACGAAGCTTTGCGTTTGTTGGATCTGGCGAATCACCAGCAAGAAAGTCCCTAAGAGCTTGAATCTGTCTTTCTACAGTTTTGCCCTTCTGGACAATATGCGTGATGCGCTTGTCTTTTTCAGTAGACATTGTTAAGTTTTCAAAAGAGAAATAAAGAGAAAAAAAAATGATTTTTGTCAAATACTAAATTCAAATTAATATTTAAGGTTGCTATATGCAACTAAACAAGTAATTAATTATTTATATATTTATTATCGATAAAATTACTAAATCGTTTAATATTTAAACAAACTTATCTTTTACTAAAAAATAAAATTTTACTCAATATAGAAAAACAGACTTATGTAAGCATTTATACTTTAAGCGATTAAGCGAATAAAATGCAATGTTTTCATAAAATAGAATGAACATAAAAAAAAATGAAGAACTGTTAATTTTGAAATATTTAGGTTAATTTTCAAAAAACAAGAAATAACTATCTACGTAAAAGAAAATACAATCTCATTGTATGGTCAACTATGAATTAAAAGCGAATGAATCAAATGTCGAACGACAGTTGATGCACACATAACCTCAGCGCGCAATCACACGCGTCGATTTCTCAGAACTGGTGGTCGGAAGACTTCGACACATAAAAGCAACTTGCCACGATTTTCGAGACAATTGTGAAATAATATAACAATGAAATTGGAATTATGAAATAATGAAAGAAAAGAAATATTCAAAATTAAACAAAATTGCGAAATTAAGAGAAACTTATCTCAACAAAATCCCACGTCGACCTTTGATATGCGCTGCGACCAACTGGGTGGTGAGATGTTCGGCGAAGGGAGCGACAACGACGTTGAGTGCTGTTGGATGATGGTTGACTGATGTACGTCAGGCTCGATGAACACTGAGGCTCGCCAGAACGCATGATAAGTGCAACGAGTGTTGCTATAGTTTTTATGAGCGCGCGTGAAATCGCTATGGAATCTCGCTCGCTATTGTTTTCTCGCACGAGCACGCTGAAACTTGCACGCGCGTGACGTCACTCAAAAGTTGCGCGAGGTGATGCACACCTCACAGGAGGCACCATAAAAGATCGTGAGCTGCTAAACCGTTGGGGCTCAGCAGCTTGAGCTATTTGTTATTGATTCTATCTAATTGAACTGAATACACCAAATTTTAATTTATTACAAATTGAATGATTTAAAGTTTGTGTAAAACCCCGTTGAAAATTATCTGATTTTACTTTTACTTTAATTTTTTTATTATTATCAAAGGTTAAGGTAAAATGACAAATCACTATTTGAAGGGAAAGCCTATTACGGCACAAAACCCTTTTATTGAATTACAATGAAGAATTATTATGAGATTAAAGCTATGATGAATGACGCAACACGCACGCACAAGCCGCACACGAGTGAAGCACACACAATGGCCGCGTGGTCCACACTCGTTCTTAGAATTAGATTTGATTTTTAATCAACACACAATTGACACACACTACCGATGACGATAATGCGTACAATTTTTCAATAATTATAAGCCGATAATGGCGAGAGTAAAATTGCAATGATACAAGAAAACCTTATGAAAGGTTAAGAGACGCGAGGGAGCTCCGCACGCTGTGGATTGTCGTCGACGACTAGCGCGGATTGTCGCTCATTCTTTCGTCTTCGCGCGCATTCACATGTACGTTCGGGAGCGAGCGGCATGGCCAGCGCCGCCACTTCCGTCGTGTTCATGAGAATGGCGCTAAAACTCACTCATACAGATATATACATATATGCGTCTTTGTGACGATGGAACAATCCCAACAACAGAAATAACAACAACTACATCATGAAGTATAACAATTTTGAGTATAAATATGTTTTACAACATATTTTTGACAAAAATTCATGTTATTATACAATTGAACATGTAATAAATTCAATGAATATTATAATATTTTCTTTGTAATATAAAATACTAATGCTTGGATATTTACATGTAATAACTAGTATTCATTCTATACACGCAAACTATTATTTTTATTTAATACTGACAGCAATTTTATCCAGTAATCGTCGTTAAGCTTTAAAACTTCATAATTTTTTCACATTTCGTTGAAATTATGATATATAGATTCAGTGATTTGAAAATCCTAAACTTTTTTTATGTTTATCACAAAATTGTGCAACATGATGAAAAATTGTGCTTTTTTAGTGTTACTGATATTCCTAACCGTTCCTAACTTTTTGGAATTCTTGAATATGATCTTGATAAGATGGTTTTAGATTGAAAGAAAAACTAGCATTAACAACATTTTCAAACTTCATAACAGTATCTACATAATTAATACCATCAGCTAGACCGCTAACGTTAGTTTCGTGTATCTGTTGGAATTTTTAGTAAAATCTTACAAGAATTTTCTTCAAATGAATAACTACCACTATTAGTATAGTTTTTTTTAAAATGATTCTGTTGAACCTATTTTTCAGCGATTTCTGAATTTCTCAATATTGTTTGTGTAAGTTAGTGTAGATGTTTACATATCCTAATAAGAGGTGTAACACTGGAGGAGGTAGAACTGACAAAATCAATCATTCATTATCTTCTGTATGAAACAGGAGCTCGTTGATATAATTTTAAAAATTTTGTATTTTGTTCTTCTCACCTCCACTTTTACACCAATCATTGTAATTAGAAATACAATCCGCTGTAGTTACACCAAGCAAATGGACAATAACTTATATTACTCATCAAACCAATGATAATATTTGTAAGTTTTAAATCTGTTATAATTATTCTGAGAAATTTAGTGAATGAATCATTTATTTTCAATTTAATTTATAACAGCTTCATGTTCTCATTCTCTTGAGTACGATCTCTTGAGTATCGTAAGCGTAATGATAAATATTTTTTTACTCTAGTATCTTTCATTTTATTTTAAGTTCTAGAAACTTTCTCATTGAAGTTAATATCGGTTTTTAATTAAATCGTTAATGTAAATTTCAAAGAACTACCACTACTCTCAATAGCAAAAGTCAACTGGAAATCAAAACCATATTTCTCTGGTCCATTAATTTTTCACAAATTGCATCAAGTCATTTCAAACAATGGCACAACTTAGAATTTTCCGAACTATATATTTTTGAACATTCTAAAAATTAAATGAATTTAAATAAAAAAATGGATCCAATTTAGGAGATTCTTGAACAACTTCTTCATACGCATGCGATTCGATTATTTTGCGTGTTTTCCGCCTCACGAATGACGAAAATGTGTAGAGTTGTCAATCAAATAAGTTTGCATCGTTCCTCAACTCGCTTAAATCGGTTGGACGACATTTGACGTAGTTGTTTTTGTTTAGTATTAATAGTGACCCTTAATGTCTTACGCTGTTGTGATAAAGGCACTTCAATATTCCTAATAATAGATTTAATATATTATAATATATTATAGTCTAATACTATATCTTTATCTAGTCTTCTTTTTTTAATAATTTAGAGGTTAAATGCTTAACTTGAATCACTAAAATTTTCTTGAACATTTTCTAATAACTTGATTGAATTTTACTTATGTTTAATGCCTTTGCTTATCATTGTAAACACTTCAAACATCTTTTTATAGTCTTTAATATCTTTGATAGTAATTTTCTCTTTGTATTGAATGTTTTGTTGATATTTCCTTGTCGAGATATGATTTCTTTGAATAAAGTATACTCATAGTTTTTTCCTGATTTAGAAGCATGAGTTTTCTGTTTGAATTTATAATTAAAGTAGTTCAGCATAATAAGTAACACGTAAGCTTTCATTTGTACTAGCACGCGC